TCGCACGACAAAAAGTCATAAGAAGTAAAATGACGGCCTTAAAATTTAAGGGGTAGCGTACGCTTTGATGACCCACTTCAAACGCAAGCTTGTAGGTGAAATTTATGAAAAACGCATTTTTTGTGCATTTCGTGCTCCGCTTTTCAGGGACGAATCGTACGCTGCTCGAGAACGGTTCGTCCGATCTGGACGGGACAAAGCTCATGAGAAAGAGCATGAAATTTAAGGGGCAGTCCTCGCGACAACTCACCGTCCGAAACGCGTCCTTGAGGCTGAAAAGACGCTTCGCGCGCCGCGGGGTGGTGCCGGGCGGTAGGGGAATACCCCCTTGGCGCTCGGAGACCTTAAGGGGCCGCTAAAGGCTCGGCGGAGGGCGCGTTTGGAGCCGGCCGGAGGCCCGCGAGGCCTCCGCGCGGCGATACATGTGTCTCGATTGCGCCCAAACGCGTTGTCGGATCGAGTTGAAACTTTGCAGGGGCATTCGAGATGAACCAGCCTCGACGCCAGCCTGTTCAAAAAAATTCCAAAATTTTTCGTTTGGCTGAAATTAGCCGAAAACTGCCCCGGGTCTTCCAGCCAAAATACGGGAAAAAGCGTTCAACAGTGTTGTAGCCACTAGCTCCAATAAGAAGTTCCTGTAACCCGGTTTCAATACCTTGAACGGTGTGGCCGGAAACTGTAAAACGCCGAACGAAAATCGGGACTTAGCCGCTGGAGGCGCGCCGAGTCCCGGCAGGCTAGGCCGGGCAACGCGAATCAAAGGACCGGCCCCGAAGCCCCCGCCGCCCCTCCCGCACCCCGCCAGCCCAGCACTGCACCAACGGGCTGCGCTCGGCCATCTGGGCCGACGGGAGCCTACCTGCCGGCCTGCGATGCCTCGATGCGGTTCCAGCAGAACGTCAGTCCACAGGCTCCAAGTGCCAAAGATTGGCCAATGATGACACCATTTTGAAAATCAAATCCAAAGCGCGTTTCAAAGCGCGCTGATCAGTTCTATACCTATCAAGATTTTCCGATGCGTTGCCGCCAAAATTGCCGTAGAAAGATCCCGTTTTCACCCAAATTCCTAGTTTTTTCTGCTCATTACGGCACCATTCTCAAAATACCCTTTTTCTTCAAAATTGCAAAATTTAGTTGGAGCGCCAGTCCCTTTTGTTTGACGATAATGGGGTCCGGGTTGGGCCGGGCTGGGGTCCGGGGCCACATGCCTGGGCGGCCCGACCCTCGAGCAGGTCAATTGCCGCTGCCGAACAAAAGGGACTGGAGCAGAAACAAAATTTGGAAATTTGGAAGAAAGGGGGTATTTTGAGAATAGTGCCGTAAAGAGCAGAAAAAACTAGGAATTTGGGTGAAAACGGGACCTTTCTACGGCAATTTTGGCGGCAACGCATCGGAAAATCTTAGTAGGTATAGAAACGATCAGCGCGTTCTGAAACGCACTTTAAATGTGATTTTGAAAATGGTGACTTTTCGAGCCGTTCTTTGGCCCTTAGAACCCGTAGAGGCGGCTGACTCGGGTTCGGCTGGAACCGCATCGAGACCTCCTCGCCGGAGCTCTCTGAGTAGCGTCCGCATTGCAGCCGCTGTGCCTTCTCTGTCACTCAGGTCTGCCGCTACCAGTGCGACAGAGACAATGCAAAAACACGTGGTGCGGACGCGCCCCGACGGGCAGGCAGGCGCCGGGCCAGACGGACGGGCGCAGACAAAGGGAGCCCGTCGGTGCAGTGCTAGGCCGGCGGGGTGCGGGAGGGGCTGCGGGGGCCTCGGGGCCGGTCCTTTGATTCGCCTAGTCGGCCTAGGCTCAGCGCGCCTCCAGCGGCTAAGTCCCGATTTTCGTTCGGCGTTTTACAGTTTCCGGCCACACCGTTCAAGGTATTGAAACCGGGTTACAGGAACTTCTTATTGGAGCTAGTGGCTACAACACTGTTGAACGCTTTTTCCCGTATTTTGGCTGGAAGACCCGGGGCAGTTTTCGGCTAATTTCAGCCAAACGAAAAATTTTGGATTTTTTTTGAAGAGGCTGGCGTTGAGGCTGGTTCATCTCGAGTGCCCCTGCAAAGTTTCAACTCGATTCGACAACGCGTTTGGGCGCAATCGAGACACATGTATCGCCGCGCGGAGGCCTCGCGGGCCTCCGGCCGGCTCCAAACGCGCCCTCCGCCGAGCCTTTAGCGGGCCCTTAACGCGGGAAGAGGGCAAATTTTATAGTTTTTATCGATTTTGAAGGGTAAGGAGTGGTAAATCGTAAGATTTGACATTATTTCGTCAACACAACATGCCCGTTCCGGTTCGACCGGTATGTCTGCGATCGTTGTAGCTCGAGTGGAAGTGGTCGTAAATTAGCGTCTACCGTCACTCAGTCAGTCATCTTGGGAAGGGGGGCATTTTTTGGGGGACTCGCGCTTCGCGCTCGGCGGGGGGGGCTTCGCCTCCCCCACACCCCCCCCTTGCGGGCCTTCGGCCCGCCGGCAGGCCTTCGGCCTGCTGTTCGCAGCATCTGTACCTCTTTCTCTCTGCATTTTGCGGGGTTGAGTCCGTCGTGACTGCCATGCGTCGGCTTAAATAACAATCTGTAGTTTCCATCAGATTTTTGGGGGGTTGCGTTAGGTTCATGTAGTTGTAGTTTTTCGGCAGGCTTCTCGCGTGCCGCAGGCAGGCCGGGTTGCTCGGGATGCACACTTTGTAGCGTTAAGTGGAGGGTTTGCACTAGTGCAGATTCCTTAGGCGGGAGAAATATGCTCGCCCCATGTTTGTTGCACCCTCACATAGAGGAGCATGCACTGCTGCCGTAGGCTGCTTGTAGAAACCGCGCGAGCGTCCTTTTGTGCCTCCTTTATCGAGGGGAAACTACGCGCGTCGCCTATGCGGAGCGCTGCAGCAGGAGGCCAGCCTCCCCTTCGGACCGACGAATTTTCACGCCGGTAGCGTCAAAATTGCAGTGGGGAGACCATGTCCGTACTGTATCTGTACATCTCTCTGCTTTTTGCGTGGTTTGCACTTTTCTCAGATGTGGGGGGGGGGGGGGGCGCGTTAGGTTCATGTAGTTGTAAGTTTCGGCAGGCTTTTCGCGTGCGGCAGGCGGCCGGGGGGGGGTCATGGGCGCGCTATAGGCAGGGAAGCGCGTGGCTTCCCCGAGTGGAATCTTTTTTAGACACCCCTGTGGCGGAAAGTGGAGGGTTGCACTAGTGCAGTTTCGTGGAATTAGCTTGTGCCATGGCCGTTGCAACCTCGCATTGTGGTGCATGCGGGGCTGTCGTGGGGTGCAGGGAGAAACCGCGCGCGCGCCCTCTCGTGCCCCCTTCACCGAGGGGAAACCACGGGCATTGCCTCCGTGGAGCGCCGCCGCAGCGGAGAACAGTGCGCGCGACGCCCTTTTGGTACCCTTTGGGGAAGGAAAACGGTGGTGCATCGCGGTGAAAAAAAACAGCGCGCGCGTACTCTAAGCCTTCCCGCTGTGAGGGGGAACAGCGCCCTTCGCCTCCGTGGGGCGCCGCGAACCGGTTGTCCCGAAGAGTGCAGGGAAAAACCCCGCGCGCGTCCTCTTGGCCCCCCTTTCAGCGAGGCAAACCGCGCGCTTTGCCTCCGCAGGGCGCCGCGGCAGGAGACGTCCGTCCCTTGCAGAACGTGGACTTTAGACGCCGACAGCGTCGAAACTGCAGTCGGAAGACCAAGTGCGAAGAAATAACGTAAAAGGGCACCAAAATATGTGCCAAAAAAAAAAGAAGCAGGATTTTGAAAGGGCCGTCCATAAGCGCAGCCCGTATCGCCCAAAAGTGCCGCGAGACGGAGCTCGTATCTCGAAAACCGTGCGCCGCACGACAAAAAGTCGCACGAACAAAAACGAGCGCCTCAGAATTTGAGGGGTAGCGTGCGCTTTGATGACCCACTTCAAACGTCATCTTGTCGGTGAAATTTTGAGTGGAAAGGAGTGGGAAATCGTAAGATTTGACGATATTTCTTCAACACAATGTGGCCGTTCCGGTTCGACCGGTATGTCTACGATCGTTGTAGCTCAAGTGGAAGTGGTCGTAAATTAGCGTCTATCGATCACTCAGTCAGTCATCTTGAACCAGGGGGTATTTTTTTATGGACTCGCGCTTCGCGCTCGGTGGGGGGGCTTCCCCCCCCACCCCCCCCTTTGCGGGCCTTGGGCCCCGCTGGCAGGCCTTCGGCCTGCTGTTGGCAGTGTGTGTACCTCTCTCTGCATTTTACGGGGTTGAGACCGTCATGACTCTCATTTTTGAGTCAAGCCTGCATTAAGGTATGTACATTATTTCTACAAGTTTGTTTGTACACCTTTTTTTATCTCTAAGACTAATTATAAATTTCAAAATATGTTACAGGAAATACAAGTTGTGGGTAAGTATATGTGCGCCTTATGAACTAAATAGTTTTATACTAGTGTGGTTTTCAGAATAATGATTAATGTTACAGGTATATTGTGCGAAGTGATAAGAAAGTTTGTATGTACAGATAAACATATGTGCATGTAATCTATCTATGTAAGGTATGTACAGTTTAGTTACAAGTATGTGTGAAGATAAATCTAAGGATTAATGGTAAGTGTTATTTAGGATAAAAAAGTGATGGGTGAGTATATATGAAGTAAATATTGTGACTTATAAACTATGTAACTTACATCTAAATTAAGGTTTCAGTGTGTACAATTTTTTAATTATATACTAATTTTAATGTGTTTGGATAATTATTTTGATGAATTGTGCAAGTATGTTATATATATACAGTATTGTATTATATATATACAGTATTGTAATGTGCGTGGCTTAAGGTTAAGGTCTTAAAAATATATTTAAAAAAGAAAGGATCTGATGATTGCATATGGTACAGTGTATTGTATAAAAATCAATCATGAAATTTATATTATTGGAGAAGGTTGTGGTAAACAATGTTTTTGGTGTAGGCCACGCCATCGTGGATGCGGTCGTGTGGCACCAGGACGACTATGTCGTCTGGAGAGCGGACTCTGCTGAGTCCTACATAGAGCTGACCGTGAGTGAAGCAGTCAGTTCTCAGGTCTACACCAACTTTGTTGATGGTTTGCCCCTGTGATTTATGGAAGCTCATGGCGTATGCCAGTTGCAGTGGAAACTGTCTTCGGTTGATCATAAGTGGGGCGCCATCTACTATTGGGAATTTAAACGTGATACGGGGAATAGCAAATGTTTCGTTGCCTCCTGCCTTGCGGACTCTGACAATCCTGGGGCTTACAGCCTCGACGACGACTTTAGTGCCGTTAACCAGTCCTTCCTCAATGTTTAGGTTCCTTGTTATGAAGCAAACGGCCCCGATTTTCAGTTTCAAGATGTGGTCGGGTACCCCCTTGGCACGAGTTTGGTGGAGTGTTTCCTCGTCCACGTCGAAGCCGTCGTCAGCCTCTTTGTCTACCTCGTCGTAGCTGAGGAGCTCGTGAAGTGTTCCGTGCAATGAGTGAAGTATGACGTCATTGATGGCTCTGATGTTGGTGTTTAGTGTGGCGAGTATGGCCCTCTGAGCAGCTGCGTCGGGGTTGCTGAGGATGTGACCGGGGTAGATTTCATCAATAAGCTGATGGAGTGTGGTCATGTGACGCAGAGATCGAAGTGGGACGAGTTTCTCCTGTTCGCGGCCTTCTCCAAATGTGGTTTCAGGAAGGGTACCGTTACCCACGTGCAGTAAGTATTGTGAGTAGTCGTCGGATCCCCGCGTTCTCTGTGGTACTGTGAGTTTGAAAACTTTGAAGAATTCCCACAGGTGTGAAGAGCGGAGTGAAACCGCGACAACATCAGAGGGGCACCGTGCCCGTGGCACTACTGGTGCGATTTGTCTGAAGTCTCCGGAGCATAGAATAATCTTGCCACCGAATGGAAGGTCATTGCCCATGAGGTCTTTGAGAGATCGGTCCAGCATCTCAAAGCCGTGTCTATGCATCATGGGGGCTTCGTCGAAGATGATAAGCGTGGCAGCGCGGACGAGCTGAGCCCTTTGTGTACCATTGCTTATGTTCCAGTTGCCGAGGCCGTCTCCGAGGTCCAGCGGTAAGCGGAACATGGCGTGAGCCGTGGTTCCCCCTTCCAAATTGAGGGCAGCGATTCCAGAGCTTGCTACGCAGAGGGAGACCTTGCCCTTCGACCTCAGGTAAGATGCGATGACTTTGAGTAGTTGTGTTTTGCCGTAACCACCGGGACCGTCGAGGAACAGTGCCGTCGGTGCGTCTGCCGGGGCGTATCCTTCGACTAACGCTTTGATGTATTGAAGCACGTCGCTCTGCTCTACAGTGAGGCGGGGTTCCCAGTCTTGGACGATTCGTCTCTGGGCTTCCTCGCTATAAGTGAGGAATTGTCTACCGAGCTCTGTACTGTCGTCCTGAACGACAGGGAGTCCGTAAGCAGCGAGGCAGGACCCATTTCTGCGGAGTGATCGGTCGATCTGAATGAGTCCTAGCTTGTACGCCTTTTCTGGATTGTCGGGGTGCCTTTCCAGGTGGTCCTCGCAGAGCTTGTCTTTGAATGATTCCCAGAGAAGAGCAGCTGGGGCGCCGACATTGGCTAGCAAGCAGAAGAAGTTGCGTAGCTTAACGCCTGTCATGAAGGAAGAAGCCTCCTGCAGAGTTTCGGCGTATTCCTTCTCGTTGTCGGCTAACCCGAGACGCCGTGCGGCCTCTTGAAACGTTGCGCAATCGTCACCGGCGCGAGCAAGCAGATCTGCATACCCGCGGCATGGGAGATTGGCTAGTAAGACTCTGAGGTAATAGAGTTCACCGCGATTCGGGCTGACCCAGAACATACGTGAGACGAGTTCACCGAGCTGGCGCCGTGTGTAAAAGTGGGTCCCTGTTGTGTTTTCATACACGGGGACGTTCATGTTGCGGGTGGGTCGCTTGGCGTGCTCGATGTAATTCTCATAAAATTCCTGGTACGTGATATTGTCAAACTCTGCGTTTGCGGGGCGGGCCATGTAGCGAAGCAGTGTTGAGGTGGCTCTATCCAAAGCGTCTGCTTCGTTGCCGGGTTTGTAAGTGACTGATTGTTCCCCTTCTAGGTGCACGGGAAGCATTGTGACGGATGGCTCTGAAACGGTCTGATCGAAGCCGAGGAGGCGCCAGCAGGCGTCACTGGCTCCTATCATTCGTTTGGTGGCGTATTCTTCGGGCTCATCGACCTGTTGGTCAAGTGGGAGCACACGCACGTTGGATTGAGAGGTGCCTTTGTGTAAGTATTTGAACAGGTATTTGATGACCTTCCTCGTGGAGGCGATCTCGAGGTTTATGTGGGCGTTGTATTTAAGGAGTAGAAAGGGATTGTAGGGCACGATCCAGCCATCGTGGACCTCTACTTCTCTGTTCCTGTACATGCTCATGCAGGTATTGTTGTAATTACGTCTGTAATTGACGAAACCGCGGTCGTCAATGAAAGTGGTTTCATTCTGTGGTTTGGGGAAGAATTTGTTGCATTTGAGCTTGTCGTCGTCCCAGCAGGGGAGGTTGGTGCGATTGTACTGCCTACCACAAGGGCCGTGCAGCATGTGTTGCAAGACGAGTTGACGTAGACGGCCTCCGGCCTCTTCAGGGCCAGGTATGTCGGCACGGATGACTTTGTCTATGTCCCTGCCTTGGGTGGGGCCACCATCAGCCACGCGGATCGCTATGTGCGCGTGGGGAAGGCCTCGTTTCTGCATTTCGATGACATAGATGATGTACGCTTGTGGTCCAAACAGTGCCCCACTGCGAATATCTCTCAAGAGTTCCATCAGTTTTATGTGAAAAATGCGGCTACAGGTAGAGGGGTCGCACAAGTGACCGTGGCGTGTCGACTTTTTCAGCTCATCACACTGACCACACGCTGTGAACGTCAGAAAGTAGGTCGGTCCTCCCTTCCTAGAGCAGAGGGCCATGGCATTCATGTATTTTTTTTCATGTACCTTGGTCCGCCGGTGAAGGAGGATGGCAAATACACCTTGCCGGCTGGAGCCCCAGCCTCTCCCTGAATCGTTTCATCACCTGCTATGTCCTCAGCGACGTCCAGGTGGACGTCTCGCTGGACCTGGCGGGGTGGCGGGACCACTTGCGCCTGGAGTTCATTGAGTGGGGCCACTCTCATGGCGTTTTCAGCGTTCCGCTTTTGGCAGCGGGCTATGTAGCGGAGTCTCTTCTCCTCAAATCTCGCGAACATCTCAACCTGCCAGGCTTGAGACAGGCGGCCGAGCTCCGTAAAGCGAGGCTCTGAGAGGAGGAGGCACCGCGTGTAGTTAAGCTGCGATAGCTTTGCGCCGGTTCTGTCCTGCATATTCATCTGCCAACCGGGATTTCCGTGTGGGAAAAGCAGTGGGTATTGAAATGTCTCCATCAGAGGACTGAAGACACTTATTTGAGTCGGGTACCTGTCCGCTCTCTTCCACACTGTAAGTTTGCGGGAGGCGTTGTCTGCAGTCTCGCTCGTACTGAGTACGGCATGGACTTCACGGCCAGGATTGGGGTCTCCAAGGACGGGCCCGTGTGTGGCACGTGAAGTGACCTCGAATTGCAGGCTGGCATTGATGGCGGGCTCGTCATGGAGCCGGCGGAAAGAATTGATATGCGGGTTATTGGCCAAGAGGTATGAAGTCGCCGCATTTACAATAATCGGGTTCAAGCCACGTCCTTCAGCTAGAGCCTGCCTCTCATGACCATCATCGATGTATAACCTGCAGTGGTTGATGTACCTGTCGTGTCTGTTGTATCTGAATGATTGTCCTCGTGCTCCCAGGCTGTAAACTTTGTGATACAGACGGCCCTCGATCTTAAAGAAAGATATGCCGCTGGGGTGTCTGTAACCTCCTGTAACGCCCATTGCACAGAAAGCGTTCATGTCATTGTACGCTCTTGCGCGGTTGAGGAAGTCAGGGTGTTGGTAGAAGTCGGCATTGAGTGCTGGCAGTTCCTGCACATTGTACTTCCCCCTACCGCAGCACCAAAGGCCCGTGTGCGGCTCCTCGTCGAACAAGCGTGCTCCGCAGTGCGTGCACCGGAATATGTCAGCAGCATACAGATTCGTGTTCTTCAGAGTGTGCGGAATAACGTGATTAAGCTGTTCGCCGCTCCAGAAGGCCATGGGCCCATGTGCACGCACTGCATGTCGCATGTTTAGGGGCAAATGGAGTAGCTTTCGTGCCTCGGGGTGCGATGCTCTGTAGCGCGCTTGTTGCTCCTGTCGTCTCTCGGGGTGGTTTTCGACATAGCGGGCCTGTGCCTCGCGGTGGATCTCAGGGTGTGCTTCTGTATAACGCTGTTGCTGTTCGCAGTGTACTTCTGGGTGTACCTGTCGAAAGCGCTGTTGGGCCTCGCGGTGTACGTCTGGGTGTTCTTGCGAGTACCGTTCCTGGGCGTCACGTTGTACCTGGGGCTGCTCGTGTGTGTATTGTTGTTGCTTTTCAAGTAATTTTTGCCTGTTTTTTTCACGGTACCTTTTTTGAGCTTGTGCACATTGTTCTCGGTGAGAGAGTAAAGAAGTTTTTGGCCTTCCCTTTTTCGTCTTTTTTGGACGCCCTCTTTTTTTTCGTGGAACAGTCGGCAGCGTTTCAGAACAATCTGAATCTTGTTGTGTATCGTTGTCAATGGGTGTTTCCGGCCGGGACGTCTGCTGCCGCCTCGTTCTTTTGGCCTGGCGCAGTGCAAGTGGAGTGTCTGAGTCCGATTTGGAGGTAGAATAACGGACTGACCAAATTTCAGTTTCATTATCTGGATGAAGAGGCGGAACCCTATCCTGAATATTCACGGTTGCAAGCCGAGCAATCAGTGGTGAGTCCGAATCTGAGTCCGCTACATGGGATGTGGTGGTGCATGGTGTGTTTGGTGGTCTTTTGGCCCGCTTACGTGGTCGGCGTGCAGCAAGTGGAGTGTCCGAGTCTGAGCCACCGTCACCGGGAGACGCACAGCTGGTAGATGGACCGGAATGTTGCGCCAGCTTCCGTGTCTGGGCCAACGGTAGTCTGAATCGCATCCGCACGACAGTACAGAGATGAGCGGCGTCATGTTCGGGAATAGGGTGAAGGAGCAACAAGTTTGTCAGTGCTGACAAAGTTTCACAACTGAAAAGACGACTCCGATTGTTTCCCTCTGTTTCGTGGTCTTCACAACCTGATTCACTGACGCCCTGAGGGTCAAAGACGAGAAAATCGCCTTCAGATTCCCAGAATGCGACAGTGCCTCGCGGTGTGTTGAAGAGGAATCCACTTCCGGGCGGAGACGTCTTAAATACGCCATTCAATATCTGGCAAATAAATTGCCTAGCAGCTGCAAACTCTACTTCACTGTGTGGGTAAACGTACGACGTGAGGTTGGATACTTCAGTGATTTCAACCTCAACGCGTGGATTACTGACAACCAGGCGGGGCGGCAAGTCTTTCGGCTCGGCAGCCCTTTCTGCTGGAACATTAAGTTCAGAGAACAGAGAATCACCAGCAAGTAGTATGTCATCAATGTCTGTATCAGTAATATCCCGCTTAAGAAAGGCATGAGCCAGTGCCAGCGCAGAAATGGGAACTGCTTGCCTGTCCCCATATTTAGTAAAGAAAAAAGGATCGCAGTTGTGAAAGGAACCCGATGCCTCCAAACGGATCCCGGGCGAAAAATCCGGCATTGCACCAAAGAAAGTTCGCACTAAATGTTTATTTCAGCGAGTATGGAGTGAGTGCAGCGGGAGCAACAGCGAGGTAAGTCTGATAATATTCCAGCTATGAATTTACAATCTCCTTTATGTTCCAGGCTCGGACCACTCAACTGTGAGAAGAAGGACGAAGAATGCCTCAACCCGACAGCTATCCCAAGGAGGTTTAACCAAGAACCAAAGAAGACAACCCAAGAAGGTCTAACCAAGAACCAAGGAACACAATTCAAGTTCAGCAAAAAGAATCAGTGAAAGTCGGAATGCGAAACGAGAACTGCGCGGCATGCAAGCAGGAGGCGGGTGGGCGAGCTGCCGATGAGTGAACAACAATGCCGTGGGTTGGGGAGGGTGAGGGGGAACGTAGCAGAGGGGAGGCGCCGCAGCGAGAGCCCCGACCGAAGGACTGCATTGTTGTGCCATTATATAGTCAAGGCGGAAAAAGCTGCGCCGCTTACAATAGCATGCGGTATTGCTTTGGGGTGCATGGAGAAACCGCGCGCGCGCCCTCTCGTGCCCCCTTCACCGAGGGGAAACCACGCGCGTTGCCTCCGTGGAGCGCCGCGGCAGGAGGCCAGCGTCCCTTACGGACCGACGAATTTTCACGCCGTCAGCTTTGAAACTCACTGCAAAAAAAATCCATCTTAATTTTAAGAAACTAGTTTGTGAAGCAGTTTACAAAGATTTTTTGCTATTAAAAGTAAGAAACTTTCTCCTCTTAAAACTAATGACAAAGTTTTTAAAATTCATAGATTATGGTTTATTAAAATTCATAAACAAATTTGACTAAAGTGGGAGAAAAGAACCTCTATACCGACGTCCGATTTCGAGTGTGGATGTCAGAATTCTGAAATGCATCTTACATCGTGTCACATTACTGTGTCGGTTGTCAAAATTATTCGAGGCATGAAGACCTGATACTTGTATGTCTTCCATCTTCCGACTGTGCCTCAACAGAGGAGGTGCCTGGACCTAACCTAATGGCCGACAGCAGACGCCCGCGAGTGGCAACATGGTTGTGCGTTTTTCTCAACTTCAGTGGAATATTTTGTTAAAAAATTTGAGCTAGCGGCTAGAGAAGACATTTACTAAGGCAACAGATGGTATCATTTGCCAAAAGAAGTTCTTTTAGAAAAACAAAAAGGAAAATTTTTAATCGGGAACGGACACGGCGCTCTGAGCGCCACCTAGCGGCAGGTCTGTGAAACCTGACCTTGACCCAGCGGCTGACTGTGGGTCATACCGTGTGAGAAGTGGCTTGTCGACAGTTTACGTGAAGTAATCAAACTAAACCTTCGGTTTACGTTGAATGTGACAGCTATCACTGAAGCGTTCAATTTTAACCTCAATCAGTTAGTTTCAGAAATCTAGTTATGAAAAGTCATCAGTCATGTGGATTTTAAGAAACCAATTTTTACTTTTGGCAGGCAATCTTAATTTTGACAACCGAGTTCCTAAGTTTTAAAAGTGGTTTTGAAATTTACCAATTATTTATTACTTTTCATTTTAGTTTTGGTAAATGTAAAAAAGTATAGCACTTTTCACAAACTTTTCTGAGTTTTCACATCATTTCAAAATGTTATTAAATTTAAGACATTTTCATGTCTTAAATTTCAGAATTTTTTTTGCAGTGCTGCGGTCGGGAGACGATGTCCGAAGAAATCAAGTCAAACAGCACCAAAATATGTGCAAGACGGTAAAGGCCAGATTTGTCAGGGGCCGTCCGTAAGCAAAGCACGTACCGGCTAAAAAATGGCGCGAGACGGTGGTCGTATTTCGAAAACCGTGCGCCGCACGACAACATGTCGTAGAAGCAAAAATGAGCGCCACAAAATTTGAGGGATGGCGTACGCTTTAATGACCCACCTTAAACGTCATCTTGCACGTGAAATTTGTAAAAAAAGCCATATTTGAACATATCGTACTCCGCATTTCGGGAACGAATAGTCTGCCGCTCGGGAACGGTCTGTCCCATCGGAACGGGTCAAAGCTTATCTGAAAAACCATAAAATTTCAAGGGCAGTCCTAGCGACAACCCACCGTCCCAAACGCGTCCTTGTTGGTGAAAAGACGCGTCGCGCGTGTTGCGGAGCGGCGTGGGAGAAGTGG